CGGGCTGCACCGCCCGTGCCCGGGAGCGCGGGGAGCGGCGCGGGGCCCGGCCCGCGGCTGCGGCGCGCCGCTCCCGATGCCGCCGGTGCGGGTCCCCGTGCCGGGGCAGTGCCCCCTCGGGGCGCGGGACCCGCCCGCCGTGCGGAGGGGGACGGGCGGTAGCAGGTGCAGGGGCCGCTTGTCACGGCGAGAGCGAGCGGGCGGGAGACCCCCCGGTGCCGGGACCGTCCCGGTGCGGCCGGGCCTGGCCGGGCGGTTACGTAACCCCTGCGCACGGAGCTGTGCCGGGAGCGGGCTCGGCGTCCCCCGGGCTCGGCGTCCCCCGGGCTCGGCGTCCCCCGGGCTCGGCGTCCCCCGGGCTCGGCAGCCCCCGGGCTCGGCACCCCCCGGGCTCGGCAGCCCCCGGGCCCCGCCGTCCCGGCGGGCAGCGGCACCGAGCGAGCGCAGCTCCGCTCGGGCAGGAGGGCACGTCTCGGGGACCATTTTCCCCTTCACGTCTCTTGGAGAGAACTCTAGACAAGCCCCGCGTCCTTCCCGGTCTGAAAGCCGGTGGGGATCTCTCCAGGAGCGGCCGTGTGGAGCTGTGCTGTCTGATGTCTGTGTGGAAATGCCTTCTGTGTGTTGATAAATTCTTCAGTGCTTACTGGAAAGGAGAACGGGAAAACTGTGTTGACAACTTAGCTCTTGTCTAAAACTTTGCTTGCAGAAAATCATTATTCCTTGTGATAAACAGTTTGCAGACCCTTCTGGGTTACTGTGCTGCTGCAGTAGAACTTCAGCACAACAGACTGTTATCACATTTAGAAAAAGTCTTTGTTAAAGATAACTATTAAATGCTCTGAAGTAGAGCCTCATACCCTTTCATTAGCATCTTTAATTAGCAGTGTCATAAGCATTCCTCCTTCACTGTGCATGGTCACCTGTTACTGTGTCCTCAAGTGTTTTCAGATTGCCTCCTCTATACTGAAAATTACATTGCATTCTTTTTTTCTATGGTCTCTGAAAGTGGAACGTTTGATTACAATCTCCAGCTGTGTCTTTGCTTTTTTTTTTCTTTATGGAACAACTGTCATAGCTTTTCTTAGCAGAAGGCAAACAGACCTATGATTACACTCCTGGAAGAGCTCTGAAAGTTTCTTGCTGTTTGCACAAGACTCTTGGCTGTTCCTGCCTTCTGCTGAGGTTTCAGGCAGTGTCTTCCATGTGCAAAAATGAAGAGACCTGCAGCTTTTTTAACATCTTTGTTGCGGTTTTCTTTTTTCCCCCCAAATATTAAGTTGTGCTCAGCAGTGGTCTAAAACTTGGTATAGAATTCATACTGACTTATTGATCAAAATGGAAACCCCCTTTTTCTGTGGGTTGAATGGAGATGCTTCAGTGTTAAAGTCTGCTTTTATTAGTAGTGAGGATAAAACCTGAAGTATTACTTGAGCATTTCAGAGCTGTAGTAGTGGCTTAAAACTCTGCTGTGTTTAATGAATTTATATTGTCTGCTGCTTTTTTTTTTTTCTTTTTAACTGTTCTTTGGAAATGTCTCTCTTCTTGTTTTCTTCCAGGCCTAATGTTACAGTTCTTGTGACTGTGAGTGTGCAGATCAGAAGCTGAGGTGAGAAACGCTGAGCTCTTTATACCTCTGTGGGAAAACCTTCCGTGAAGCTGTCAGGGGGTTTACTGGAAGGAGTGCAGAAGTTTCTAACTGTTTTCTTTCCTTCCCTTCAGTGTGCAGACCAATAATGTTTGAGCCCAGGGGATTGCCTGAGAGCAGGAAAGGTGTATGCTATGGTTAGCTGCCTCCCGGCGCTCCAGGGGCTGTTTTCTCGTCGCGTGACGCTCGTTCAGCACCGGGATAAAGGATAACGACTCTATGGATATACAGCAGCCTTCACCATGGTAAAACTCGCCAACCCGCTGTACACAGAGTGGATTTTGGAGGCAATCAAAAAGGTAAAGAAGCAGAAACAGCGTCCTTCGGAGGAGAGGATTTGCAATGCAGTGTCGTCTTCTCATGGCTTGGACCGCAAAACTGTTCTGGAACAGTTAGAGCTGAGTGTTAAAGATGGGACTATTTTGAAAGTGTCCAACAAGGGTCTCAACTCCTACAAGGATCCTGATAATCCTGGGAGAATAGCACTTCCGAAGCCTCGGAACCATGGCAAGTTGGATGGTAAACCAAATGTGGACTGGAATAAACTCATCAAGCGGGCGATTGAGGGCTTGGCTGAGTCCAGTGGCTCATCCCTGAAGAACATCGAGCGCTTTCTGAAAGGTCAGAAAGATGTGTCTGCATTGTTTGGGGGCAGTGCTGCCTCCATTTTTCACCAGCAATTACGATTAGCTGTCAAACGTGCTGTTGGCCATGGCAGGCTCCTTAAAGATGGACCTCTCTACCAGCTCAACACTAAAGCAACTGCTAATGCTGATGGGAAGGAGAGCTTTGAGTCTCTTTCCTGTCTCCCTCCAGTGTGTCTCCTTCCCCATGAAAAGGATAAGGTAAGACACGTTTTTTGCGTGGGCATTTTCTTGTGCTTGATGAGATGTGAGGACACAGAGTCCCAGTCTGAGGCCAGTGGTTTGTTTAACTTGCACCTGGTAAGTTAAAAATTACTGATGTGCATTTAGGATCCTACTGTGTCCAAATTTCTAAGCAGGATCACAGGAGGTGTAATGGATTGCAATTTGTACTATGAACAGAAAAGTGCAAAGGAGCTGCTGTGGGGAATTTGCCTCCTGACTTCTGTGCAGTGGAACTGAGTGGATGGTAACAGGCTTACCAGAGTTGTGTTAGCAGAACATAGGAAGCAAAGCCTCCTCTCTTTAAGGTGAGGTGGATTTGCTAAACAAATTTGAGATGATCTCTTACTTTCACATTTTTATTTGACTGCCAGTTCACCTTCTTATTTGAATTCAGGTAACACAGTGAAGTGCTGATTAGCAATTGCCACCCAACGCTGTCTTAGAGGCTTTCTCTGTTCATAAAGAGCAAATCCCTTTCTGTCCCAGAACCACTTTGTTGTGAAATAGGAAGAAACTTGATCTAGTGGAAGGGAGTTGGGTATGGATGATTTTAGGGTCCCCACCCAAAGCCTTCTATGATCTAGAGAGCGTGGAAGTGCTGGGATGAGCACTCAGGGACTTCTGCACCCTGTGCCACTGCCCACCCATTTTACATGTAGTTCATTATACAAACCAAAGGATTTTCCTATTGCTTTCTCTTATCTCTTCCCTTCCTTTCTGCCATCCTTCTGCATGCCTAAGGTCGTTGATCCTCCACTCCAACCTCAAGATGAAGTTGTTGGAGTGAAATTCATACCCAGTCAGTATCTTTCCATTCTTTCTGCTGCTGTGGGTGCAAAGTAAAGCAGAAGTTTGTCTTTTTTGTTTTTTGAAGATCAATTTGCCAGTCATTCCTATATTTGCACCACTAGTGTCCAGGACATCTAGAATGTAAAATCTATGTTTTCTATTCATAAAAGATAGGTTTTTCAGCAGAATTGGACTTTGTTGTTGTTGTAAATATCCTGTTGTGGGATGAGTTCTTTGCGTCTGTGCTGCTCGTGTTTTCTGGAGTCAGCTCCACTCTCTGGTGAGAGGGCTGCTTTATAATCTGGTAGGGTTTGAAGATTGGAAACCACTGTAGGAGTCTTCTTCCTAAAACAAAGTCTGCACAGCTGTTTTATCACCAGTAAAGTTTCTCTGAAGTTCTAATTTAACTGTGGGAGGGCTGCTGTGGCCACAGTACTTATCTGGTCAGTGTTGTGTTGTGGGCTGGTGTCACATAGGAAGTCAGGATCACTATGCTCAGAATTCCAGCAGCTTCCTCCATCCTTTTTTCAAGTGTTCTGTCTACAAATGTTTCCTGTGTACATCTGCAGCTATATCTGTAATGAGATCAGTATAGCTGTAAAACGTTATGAAAACTGGATGTAAGCAAGCCTGGCACATGAGGTGGCTGGACTGAGAGTGCTGGTGGCAGTGG